GTGCTCTCTCTCTCTCTGTCCCCCACCACCACATTCGTGCCCCACCTTGGCCTCCCCTGTGTTTTCAGTTTTAATGAATGGCACTCTCCAGCACTGAGTTACCCAAGCAATCGGGAGACTCCTCTCTCCCTGCAGAGAATGCAGCCACCCTAATTGGTAACCAAGTCTTGTCGTTTCCGTTCGCCCAGCGTCTCTAATGTATGTCCCCTCCTCCTGTCCTCATTCTTGCACTCGAACTGGTCAGGCACCAGTATCCTTCACCTAGATGTTGTAATCAGCTTCCAGCTATCTCCCTGCCTCCGAAATTGACCCTTCTTCTAACGCTTGCCAGCAACTGCTGAGAGCTTGTCGAAATGTAAATATCCCTCCAGCTTGACACTCTTCTGTGATCACTGCTGCTGTCTACCGCACATTTCAGAACCGTTAGCAAGAGGAACAGGTGCCACTGGGCCTGCCCACCATCCACAGCGGAGCTGCCCCACTGCCCAAGGTCACAGCCTGGACGCTTTCTGAATGGACACCGCAGTTTCCACCCCAGGGCTTTTGCTTATTGTGTAACCTCTGATTGGGCCACGGCGGCAGTTTGAATGAGAATGGCCCCCATAGGCTCGGATATCTGACTGCTTAGTCACCAGGGAGTGGAACTACTTGAGAAGAAACAGGAGGAATGGTCTTGTTGGAGGAAGTTTGTCAGTGGGCATGGGCATTGAGCTTTCAAAGGCCCATGCCACCCCCTCTCTTTCTCTCCCTCCCAGCATGATGACAATGGACTGTAAGCCTCTGAAACTGTAAGCGGCCCCCAATCAAATGCTCTCTTTTATAGGAGCTGCCTTGGTCATAGGGTCTCTTCACAGCAATGGAGCAGTGACTAAGACAGGCTCCCTTTGTACCCTGTGAGCCAGGCATTCCAGACTTTACCTAGGCACTTTCATAATGCTCAGATTTTACCTGGACAGCAGTCTTTGTGACAGGGACTACCACTAGTCTGACTTTACAGGAAGGAAACAGAGTAAAGGAGAGTAAGGAACTTTCTAAAGGTCACCATATATCCCTACCCCAAAATGTGACAGAGTCCGACTTGAACCCAAGCTGGGCTGCTCTGACATCCATGTTACCAGAAGCCTGGTAGCCTGCCTTCGAGGACAGCACCAGACACAGTCAAGCTGGCAACCCCTCGGGGCAGCAATGGTGATGTCAGGGTTTCTAGCCCAGGGAGAAGAGCTCCACACAGGCCGTGCACAGAGCAGCCTCACTAAATCCCTTGCTGAATTAATGACGGAGCTGCATGGCAATGAGGGCAGGGCGGGAAGGCTGTAAGAGAGCAGCCAAGTCTTGTGCACAGAGACATACACCACGGGTATCTAAAGCATATGACACGGGAGTGAGCCGTCCATGAACCAGCATGGCTTCTGGATACATTTTAGTGGATGCCCAAAATGCATAGCTTTTGTGGTTCCCTTTCTTTCGGGATACACCAGCTTAGGGATAAAAGGTACCCGGAGTCTTTCAAAGCTCCACTCCAAGGCGCCATAAGAGGCAAAGGTGGCATCTTCAACAGCGGAAATGACCACGTGACAGTCATGACGCTTTCCTTGCTGTTCCAGAGACAAGACTGAGGCTGAGAGCAAGTTCCAGAAAAGCAGAAAGGGGGCATTCTAGATGCACACTGGTAGATGTTCCTCCCATGGGGCTGTCAGCTCTGTCACCAGCACTCACGGAGCCCAGCAGATCCTGTGCTAGGCAGGTGGCCACAGATAGAATGAGGTCCTCTATGACTAGGAAATGGGACAGTCACAGCCTTCCTACCCTGCTCACTGCAGCAGCAACTAGCCGGCCCAGAGGAGAGGACTTCCATTGTCCCCTGGAAATTCTGTCAGTCACACAGGGGACACTCAGTAACCAGAGCCCTGAATGGTGAGCAGCCATACCTAGACTGAGGAATTTAAGACCAAGGACCCTAATGACTAGTGGGAGCTTCCTTGAAACTGTGGCCCACTACCACAAAGCAAAATAATGATGGACCTAGTTTTAGAAACTAGAGCTCTTGAGTTCAGAACCTTCCATTCAAAAATGTGCTACAAACACCAGATTCCTGTCAGGCACTGTATATATTTTAGAAATGCTTTTTTTTTGGTTTTTCAAGACAGGGTGTCTTCTGTATTGCTTCGGAGGCTGTCCTAGAACTTGCTCTGTAGACCAGGCTGGCCTCAAACTCACAGAGATCCGCCTGCCTCTGCCTCCCGAGTGCTGGGATTAAAGGCGTGCGCCACCAAGGCCCAGCTAGAAATGCAAATATTAATGACATCATTGTCTCCAGTGTGATGGAGAAAGCCATCGTGCAGAAAACTGTAGTTTGCCCGGGTAAAGCACACAGATGGGAACACCTCTCTTGCTGGCTCTCTGGGCATAAGCTACTCACAACACAGACACTGGTAACGTCCCTCGGGAGTCAGTGGGCACGGCATGATGAGGGGCTGGGTCATGGGAATTGAGCCCAGCCACAACAGGGGGAGAGCCAGACACTTGCCAGCAGTGGGCAGCAATGCTAGTGACCATGTTACTGTCCTCCCTGGCATATTCCAAGATGCAGCTAGAAGCTAGAGGGCAGGAGTGTGTGAAACAGGGAAGGGAGTGAAGTTTCCATGTCTTGAGAGACCTAGGCACCTGTGCCACTGACCACACCCAACCCCACTTCTGACACCAGCTGTCTTGAGAGACCTAGGCACTGTGCCACTGACCACGCCCAATCCCACTTCTGACACCAGCTGATGAAGAGAAGCAACAATACAGGGAATAAGGGTATTGCTGGTTATTTATTGTGAGAAAATACTTACATAAGAAACTGAAAATCCAGGTTAGTCTCTACAGCCTTTAGAGACCCAACCAGAACCCCCGAAAAGAGGGCGTGGTCAGCAGCACAGGTGCCTAAGTTTCTCCCTACAACACTGCACTCTCTACCATCCCATCACCCTTAAGAATTCAGCCAAGTGGGCGGCAGGACCCTCAGTCTTTGGGAGGGAAACTGAGCATTTACTATCATCCCAAGGTCATTCAAGCTGCAGCATCTAAACTAAGAGTCAGAGCCACTCCTCTGGGCTGAGTGTAGATTAGAGGCAGAGCCTGACACGGCACCGCCCTGAGTTCCATGCCCAGAACTACAAACAACGGCAAAAAGCTGAAACCAAAGAAATAATCAATTAAAAATCAAAGCCCACTATTCACTTTGTTTCTCTAAAACTGTGAGTGTTGGGCCAAGATGAGTGACCCAGAGAGCATGGTCCTAAACTGAGGGTGGACCACATGGCCTGCCAGCAGCATGACCTGCCCCGGACCAGCGTCACCTTGCAGTTGAACTAAGTCAGGGCTGTGAACCTGAAGCAGGAAAGAGGAGGAGAATCAGAGACCTTGCTCTTCCCTCGTGATGCCTGCGGCAGAAACAGGAAGTTCGGGTGTCTGGGAGGACCACCCGTGTGCTGGGAACCGCCGTCTGCCCTTTGTTCCAACCTGGGGCCAACTGAGTTTTGATTCTTCTTTTTTAGTCTGGCCTCTGTGACAACTTCCCACACAGGCCAGGGTGATGCCGAACCACGCAGCCTCCCTGCAGATGAGAGGTGAGGACACCCAGAGGCTGACGAGCCTCAGACCTTCCAGGTAGAGCAGAACCTGCCCTGAAGCGGACAGTGGCGACCCCGTCCTGCCATGACCCCTGGGTCTTCTTCAATTATGGTACTGACTGCTTTCTGAGGTCTGTTAGACAACAGTGTGGGTTTGAGTCCAGCAGCTTTGTCCAGTTTGAACTCTGAGAAGGAAGCTGCCTAGTGACCTCTGTACTCAGCCTTCAAAGCATCACCCAGTCTAAGCACACAAGACTCTGCAAAAGCTAAAGAGTGCAGCCTCTAAATGGGGTCCTTGTGTCACTGGCATACTGAGAGCCCTGCCCAGATGGCCTAGAGTCAAAACCACTACATCCCATCCAGCCACAGCAACTCCAGCACTAGGCCGGAAGTTGGACCTCACTTAGGGACCAGAAGGCTCCCCATGATACATCTGTGTCAGAACAATGAGAAACAAACGGACCTGAGTTTCCCAGCATTTGCTAACTAGCATTTACACATACATCCAGCTTCTTGTCCCATACTAACAGTAGCCCGGCAAAGTTGGGATAAAGCCTCCATGTTCCAGGTGAGGAGTCTAAGGCCCAGAAAGGTCACAGGGCTAGCCAAAAACATGCTGCAAGAAGAGGTCATGGCCAAGACTCCACCCCAGTCTTTCTGAGTCTTGAGTTCTGGTCTTTGTCAATCTCTTCTTGCTGCCCAGATGTGATTCTGTCTATGTTCCTCTGGCCAGAGAACCATGGGAGTGTCCAGATTCACACACACATGATCAGAAACATCTGGATATTTGGATGACCTGGGTCAGCAGTGAGCAGATCAGCCTGCAAGGGGGAGGGGGCAGGGGATGTTGGCTCACTGTCATGAGAGGATACCCAGGTCCACTCACTCGAGCATCACCCTTGCAGTCCAGGCTGAACTATCCTACTTGTACCAGCCAAGCTGGAAGGATACCCAGATGTCCAGGAAATGTTTCCCAGAGCACTGAGTCACCCCAGGCATCCTCAGCCACGCCACACATCCACTATCTAGAAAAAGGCGCTTCCCAGCCTGGCATCTTCAGAGGTAGAATCCAAACATTCAGACATGCAGGCTCCTTGCTGGTGTGTGTGTGTGTGTGTGTGTGTGTGTGTGTGTGTGTGTGTGTGTGCGCGCGCGCGCGTGTATGTAGGAAAGCACAGCTCCCAGTCATGAATCCTTATGCCTACCCATGAGGTCACCTGAGAGGAAATAATGTCTCTGTTGTTCTAAGGTCACAGGATAGCCTCAAGGTCCAAAGAGAAAGAGAAGAGCCGAGATTTTGGACAGCATCTTGTAAAATCACTCATGTTGGGTTAAGAGTGAATCGAGGCAGGAGGATGGGCTGCTACTTGAAGTGGAGGGACATACCTGGACTTCCCTTGTGTGATAGGCGATGATCAAACCAAGCAGGATGATGGTGGATAAACTGATAAGGCATTTCAGGGCCAGCGAAAACATGGAATCCTGCGGGAGAGAGGGAAAGAGAGTTAGGGGGTCCAGGCAAGGGCAGTGGACAGAGCATCCTTAGCCCCTCCTGGGAGCAGGGTGGAGCATGAAGTTAGCCTGAGCCCGGGCTGCCCTTTCTAAGCCTTTGCTTTTGAAGAGAAAACATTCTTGCAATCCCAGAATGACCCTACGGGAGCACAGTGTTTTATGTCTGTGACACCTGGCTAGATTCTGGTCACTGATGAGCTGAATATTTGCCTCCATGCTCAAAAGTCACACGAATGTTAATTCTTTTTTGTACCATTGTTATATGGTGTGGGTATCCATACCATGTCAGCTCCTGTCTTTATCTTAGCACAAACCAGAAAATTCTGGAGTCCCTCTCATCCCTGGCCATGAAGAGCTTTGGTAGGAATGAACCAGAATGTCCTGGTAGCTTCTCTACCTCCTGGCATAAAACAAAGGCAGTAGAGGGAGACGAGGCCAGCAGCAGAGATACTGGATGGCTGAGGGGCCAGCGAATGGGCAAAGGGGTCCTGAGGAGGTGAAGGTTGTGGCGGCCTCCTGCTCAGGGCAGAGGACGCTCCTTGCAGCTTCAGCCAGATGGCTTGGAGAGCCTATAGTGTGTGCATTAGCTCCCTGGCTGTCAGGTGGGCCCGGAGCCTGCCCCAGCTACTCAGAGCTGCGTGACCGTCAAGGTGCCTGTACCAGCTCAGCTCCCTGATGCTGACTGCCATTACCTTTTGCCCCCTCAGTCAGAGCATCTAGTTGGGACTTGTGACATTCCTGAGTGGTGCACATCCGGAAGGAGACCTACCTCCAGCCCTAAAGGAGCACAGGAGACAGCCCTGAGCAAGCGACTCACAGGCCAGGCAGCACTTCCCAGCACCAGTGTGGGATCTCTCCATGGTTCTGGGAGCCGAGGAAGACCAACGAAACAGTGCTATCCTCAAGGGTAATCAATAACGTACAATCTCTGCACACCCCACCTTACCAGCAATTACATGTCCAGACCGATGAGTGGCTTAGGTCAGAGTTCAAAGCCAGAGCCTCTGACCCCCAGGTCAGAACACTGCACATAGCGCTGCACTAACTCTCCCAGGAGACAGGAATGCTCATGACAATTCCCTTACATGGACCCAAACAGCAGATCAAGACAGGAGACAAAAGCACAATCAGGGAAGAGAGGCTAGCTCTACTCTTCTACATAGAATAACTATGGTTATAGCCACCTATGGCACATTGCAGAGTACCTAGAAAGGGACAACCATTCTTACCACATAGAACTGCACAGTGTTTGAGGGGATGGGGTGCTTACCAGCCTGATCAGTCACTACACACCAACACACGTTTCAAAGGCTGTAACAAAGCTCCCATAAAAGTGTACAAATATTATGTCTCAGATAAGATTTTTAAGATAACAACAGAAGCATTTCAATGGCAAGGTAAGATTAATTGCCAGACGATACTTAGAGCAGAGCTGAAAGAGCTTAGGGGTGGGGGACACGCCTGGCAGAGGTAAAAGGTGTTTGGACCTGCAGAGCAAGGTAATCCTTGAACTCAGGACTAGCAGGTGCCCATGGTGATGCTCTCAACCACCCCCTGTGGACTAACAGAGTGGAAGCCGCTGCCTCTGGTGTGCATGTCAATTCCGTCCCTCATCTCCTTGATCAATCATTGAGGCCCTTTTTACGTCAGGCACAAATTGTCCCTGGAGCTAGGAGGAAGAGCTAGTGAAATAACTCATTTGTTCATTCACTCATACTTTTGGCTTTTTGTTTGCTTGTGTTGTGTGTTACCGGGCGCACACATGGCAAGCAGCCCTGTACATGCGCTACAGTGCTCACGTGTAAGCCACAGGACAACTTCCGGAAGTCAGTTCTCTCCTTCCACCCAGGAACTGAACTCAGGTCATCAGGTTCGCGTAGCAAAGGCTTCCACCCGAGAAGCCACCTCCCGAGACCTGTTGTTTTCTGAGACACCGTCCAGTTATGTAATCTTACCATCTCCCTGCCTCAGCAGCCCAAGATCTTATTCATTTACGTTTTCATAGCAGTTTCAACCAGTGCTTGCTTTGCTAGACACCCATGGTGTGGTCCATGCTGGGGAATATACAGTGAGGTCCCACCCGCCAGAACTTTTCAGTCTGTCTTCTCGAATAAACTCTCCCTTAATTACACTATACAGTCCAGCTGTGGAGATATGTCTCCATTCTGTACAGCCCAAAGGCTGGGGGGTGAAGCTTAGTGGTTGGGCACTAGCCACACAAGGTAGGGAGGTCCTGGGTTCCATCACAGTGCTGAGCCTGCTCAGCATCTTCTGTGTTCTTCAGAAAGAAGAGTAGCCTTGGGTTCTTTCTTGAGCTCACCAGTAAAGGGGTGTCAGGGAGTCCCGGTGCTTTGCTGATGCAATGTGAGCACCAAGAAAAAAACAGAGCACAGTTCTGAGCCTCCAGAAGTTTCCAGCCTTTGAAAGCCTACTTGATGCTGTTCCCAGACCTAGCTGGGGCTAAAGAGAAAAGCTGGAAGCACAGAGACACTCCGGTTGCTGTGGGACAAGATGAATTTCCCTACAGGAATGAGCTGGGACAGCTCACAGTGCTCTCCAGCCAGAGATGGCCATAAGGGTCTTGTCAAAGGGCCCAGAAGCATGCGGACAGCATCACGCCTACCCCAGGACGGCTTGTGATCAGTGGCACACTTCCACCGCTAATTCATCTTCTTGGCAAAAAATTAGCTAACGTCAGGATCTGTGTCTATTCCCATCATTTTTAGGGGAAGAGGCAAAGGGACAGGGGCCAGATGCTGTCTCTTCTCCTTTAAGCCTCTTCCATTTCTCCCCAGAGTTGAAGCTTTTCCATTAACAGGCAGCTCCCACCTGCTCATAGGTTTTGACTGGTGCGGCCTGCTGGGCCAGCGGCAGCCTGCAGGGAGACAGAGCTATGTACTGGACTGACAGGGACCCTGAAGACTTTACAGACATCCTTGAGATCTCATCACATGTCAATAAAAGAAAAACATTAACTCATTTTTCTAACACCTGAAAAATATGTCAAAGAAGTCTAGCTGGATCTGGAACATTCCCCATTTGCTAAAACGTTGAATTATCATCTCCTTTTCCACTTGAACTCCAGTGAAGCTTGAAATTGATGTGACTCTTCAGGTGACACCAGTGACACAGGGTTGACTAATTAGCCAGCAAACACCACATGGTGGGGCACCTGCCACACCCGCTGTGCCCCAACACACTCCATCTGTGGCCTTAAAACTGACTCATGGCTGTGAGGAGTTCTGTGGCCAGCTACTCAGCCCTTCTCCCCTGTATCTGAGAGCTTACAACAACAAAGAAATACCCCACAACATGCAGGATGCACGGGGCACATCCCATTGATGGAGAGACATTTTATATATAAAGCTTTTCCTTTTATTCTTAAAGTATGAATGTAAGAGGGGTACATGTGAGTGCTGCACCCACAGAGTCCGGGAGAGGGAGTCATGAGCCTCCCAGTGTGGATATCGGGAGCCAAACTCTGGTCCTCTGAAAAGGCAGTGTGCACTCTTAACCAGTGGGCCATCTCTCCAGCCCTCATTTCAAAATTCAGCCAGTCCTACAGGCTCAAAGACATTCAAGTGGTTCAGACCACCTGAGCGCCAGTGATGGAGACTAGGACAGCCGTGAGAATAGAGCATCAGAAGACACAAGAGAGAGAAGTTGTGATAGACTACTAACTGGAAAGCTTTGAGCCTCAAACTGTATAGGTAGCGTACTTCTGCTTATTTTTAAAATTTTCCATTTGGAAAAAAGAATGTGAAAATATCAATATTCTGAATCATAGGCTGTTTTCTTATCGCTTTTCTTCTCTCCTCAAATTATTAATAATGAGAATATAGCATTTGCAATTGAAAAGTTTACTTATCAAAATCTGAGCCCTGGACTGCCAGGAAGAAGCTTTTGTGCAGTGTGAAAGATAACATCTTTACTTGTAACATGCGCTCCACGGGGAGTGGGGGTGGGGGGTGGCTGCAGGAGCATGTGTGAACCCCGAGTCCACCCCTATGGTGGAGATGAACCCCTCTGCTTTCTCTGGGTTTTGAAACCCATCTCCTTTACCAGGCCCATTTCCTAGTGTCATGCTGGAGAAGTAGCTAGTCTCAGCTTGAGCAGTTATACACTTAAGCCAGGTGGGCACTTGGGCCTCTTAGTCACTTGGGCTGGGCTTAGGGACTCAAGCCCACTTCAGACAGCCCAATCCCAATCCATCTAAACCCACACGATAACGCATTCATGCTATATGGTTCCATCACCTATTTCGTTCTGAATATAAGAGATGCTTAAGAAACACTTTACTTACAGCTGATCTTCACTGGGCACTGATGACAGGCTTCCTCCAGAATAGGTCACCACACATTTTGTCTCTGATAAAACCTAATGTCTCCATTTTATCAATAAAACACTGAGAGTTGTATTGGAGAGCTATTGAAGTGGCTTTTCAAGGTCATGCAGCTCACTCAGACTTTAGCTATCTGCCAGATTTTCCTGGGTCCCACACTTACCCTGCCCTTCAGTGTCCTAGGTACTGTGTGAGACAGAGCGTCCTGTTAACTCGGTGGAGCCTTGGGCAGCACAAGAGACTTCTGGCTGAGCGGGAGACCAAGACACATTCCTGGAAATGCTCCCACCATGTGGTCCCTGCTCCACTACTGGGTGCAAACCAGCCCTTTATGGGTCTGTGATTTTCCCATAGAATAAAGTCCTGCTACCACAGGGGCCTACCATGCAAAGGAGGAATTATGAACTCTCTTTCACAGATATGGAAATTGAGGCCCCAAGGAGGCTTATTTGTCCAAGGACAAAGCCAACAAATGGCAACGTCAGGATTGAGGGAGTCAGGTTGCCACCCAGACCCATCTTCCTTTGAGCTCTGAAGCAGCAGCCCCGAGGCTGGGTCCCACTGGCCTCCAGATTCACAGAGCAGCTTCTCAGGGCTGCTGTGTCCCGTCCTGGGGCTGTGAACAGGG